GGTCAGGAAACTTTGTTACAACATTATAAGGGTGAAATTCTAGGCTCCCCACTCAGCACTGGCAGGCATAAGTTGAGGTAAGGTCATTTTTCTGTGTGTGGTGTTTGGTTAGAGCACAGCAGCTATGGTCTAAAAGTTTTCTGCCTTGCTAGGCTGTCTCCTTTAGTTAAAGAGAACAGACGTTTTTAGTCTGTGCCTATTGTTTTTTCCAGGCTGCCAGCTTCTTCAGTTCCAAGTTTGGGATATATTAGGCAAAAAGAAAACCCATGGAACTCACCACCGTGTCATTCCTTGGGTGCTGAGGTCCCTAGTGTGTATGCCTTCTCTCCACCTTTCAGTCTTCTTATGTTTATTTTATATATAATGCTCAAGGTTTTCAGTTGTTTTAGTGGGAGGAATAGGGCAATGTACATCTACTCCATCTTCCTGAAAGCAGAAGTCCCCATTTTTTAAACTGGTTCCCACTATGTCCAACCACACAAATTCCTGGAAAAATGAGGGTAGAGTCTGTGGAAGAATTTTTCTTTATCTGATGCTTATATATTTGGACAAATTGGACCACTCCTTTATCCAAATGAGTTCTGCAGCTGATTTAGCCATATAAGAATACCCAAACCACCTGCTATGTCAGGGTAGGACCTCTAATATAAACTTGTGTAAATTAAATAGTCAAAATGCTTTTGATTTCATAAATACTAATTTAACAATTTTCCATTTAAAACGTTAAAACAATCACTAAACTATGTTTATTTCTGGAACAAGTCCTTTATATAATCTTATCTCTCCAAAGTCACTATATGAAATTAGGCAGCTAAACCTTGATCAAACTTTTGAACACATATTTTGTCTTAATAAACAGGTATTTAAATGTATATAATCAATAATAGGATAAAAGTATCCTAAAAGAAAATGGCCTAGAACAGTGTCTGCCACAGAGAAGGCACTAAATAAATGTTTTATGACAAAATATACCAATGAAAAGACAGTGCCTAAAATTTTATTGTTAAATAAAAAAGCACTTCCCTAGATAATGTCGAACATGAGGCTACATTGTTTTTCTTTAACTTATACATTATGCTTTCATAATTAACCAACAAAAAGTTATATTTCTAATTTCTATGTATTACTAGAATGTACTTAGAACTACCTCATTTAATACACTCACACATATGCTTGGCAATAAGCATATTCAAAATTATTTTGAACTAGCCAGTGAGTCAGTGAACACAGAAGGTTCTAATTATCTATTAAGTCATTAAGAACAAAATTACTTAAGGATTAATACAAGTAATTCTTCAGCTGATATTAATTTTTCGGGATTAATAAAAAATATGTAAAAGAACAGGAATTTGTAACACATATTTTAGTATTCTCACTCCCTCTTAACATCCCAAGGACATAAATATAAATAAAGTAGTGATATTCTTATATTACTTTAATCTAATGTAGAGCTTCCCATATTATGTTCCTCAAAATCCTAATGTCTCTTGAGATATTAACAGATATCCCACAGAGAAAGAAAATGCTAGGTTAAACACATTTAAACAAATTTCTCTACTACAGGAATCACTGGGCCAATTAAAATATAATATGCACCTGTGATCTTTCCAAAGAAGATTATTGTTATAGTTTCCCAAACCTATTTAATCAAGGACACCTTCCCTACAATATCTATTAAATCCTTTTACAGACTAGCATTGAACAGGACCCAATCTGAGATTTACAGAATGGCAGAAAAACCTTTAAATACTTTAAATACTGATTCCCTACTTAAATGAGGAAAATGAAGATCAGAAATCTAACAAATATCAGTTACAATAATTAAAAATCTATTGAATAAAGAAAAATAATATTATAACAAAAGGCTTTTTTTTAGCCTCCCTACTTTATGGGAGCTTTTTTTTTCTTAAAACTGCAGAAGACACCTAGCACTCATTATAAAAATAATCTGTTATCATGATGAAAAACAACCATAAAAATTGATTATGGATGTTACTGTAATAAATTAGATGAGTGCTAATTTCATTTCTATTTTAATCTTCCCTATTAGTTTCAAGTTAATTTATTTGATCATAAATTAACTTGGACATTTTAGATGAAGGTTTAAAAAAGAAAAACTCTGGCTGGGTGTGGTAGTGCATGCTTGAAATCCCAGCACTTTGAGAGGCCAAGATGGAAGGACTGCTAGAGGCCAGGAGTTTGACACCAGCCTGGTCAACAGAGTGAGACCCCATCTCTAAAAAGAAACATATATTAAATAAATTTTTAAAAAGAGAGAAAAAAAAGCCCTTCAATTTTTAAAAGACCTCACCCTTAATTATCTGAAATTAAACCTGTAATATTGTGGCACACTAAACAAAACATACAATAAACAGAATATACAACCATTAATGTGTATGTATGTGTATGCACGTGTGCTAGTGTATATGTCTACATCTATATCTTTTTTTTAATTATTATTTGAGATGGAGTCTCCCTCAGCCGCCCAGGCTGAAGTGCAGTGGTGCGATCTTGGCTCACTGCAGCCTCTGCCTCCTGGGTTCAAGCAAATTCTCCTGCCTCAGCCTCCCGAGTATCTGGGAATACAGGTGTGCGCTACCACGTCCATCCATTTTTTGTATTTTTAGTAGAGACGGGTTTCCCCATGTTGGTCAGGTTGGTTTCAAACTCCTGGTCTCCAGTGAGCTGCCTGCCTCAGCCTCCTAAAGTGCTGGGATTATAGGTGTGAGCCACCACACCCAGCCTACATCTATATCTAATATATTAAATAAGATGAAAATACCAGAGTCCACTAATAGGGGTAGAATAATAATTTCAAGAGATTCCAGTTAAAATTCAGGGCAATTTTACATAATCTGAATGAGTGATTTTATGACACCTCTTTTAACTTGATTTTTGCAATCCATAATTCAAATTCTTTTTAAAATTCTTTTGTTAATATAGAATTAACAAAATACAGAATGGCAAGCAGTGTCATTACCAATTTTAGATGCTGTATGATGATATTTGTGGACTAAGAAAAGTAGGTTACAGATTTGAATTCAGAAAATAATGAGAAATCACTTACCTCTAACTAAAGTTCTCCGAAGGTAGTATCCTCCTTAGAACCCCTATCTTGGGTAGTTTCACCTGCTGTAATTTCCCTCAAGAGATTCCAGCCAAGTCTAGAAAGTTTTAAGTTCTCTTCCGCAAGCCCTATTAGCGCATGTGTGTTATAAACCTGCTCACATACTGCTTCACAGCTGCAACTTCCAATTCCCATTGAACCACCACCACCACCACCCATGTATCATCAGTGGAGGATACTACCTTTGGAGAATTCTATTTAGAAATGTGATATTGTTCACATCTCCGGAAGTATCCTCCAAATCACTCCATTACTGTGTCTATTAATGTACTTAAGAGAGTGGTGGCAAATCAGCAGGTGAATAAATAATGACATAAAGATTTCGCTAAGCAATTATATTTGCTGAATATGCAATTATAAGATTTAACAAGCAAAAATTAGCTTCCTCAATATTCAATTAATATGTTAAAAATTAAACTAATGGATATATAAAATTTTTCATAAAAATACTTTAATAGATAAGGTAGAAAAAAACAGTCCATATCAGACTGGGACTACCAAATATTTCCCTAATATATTTTGCCACAGAAATGCCTGTATTTAAAAATTAGTTAAGAAATCAGTCATCGAAAGACAACTGTTAATTTTCAATAATTTTTTCAGTATGTCATTTCTACCTTGAACTGCCAAAATAAAGCAAAATAAGGTTTAAAAAAATAAATAAAAATCAAAACTAGCCACCCAAACCAAAGCTCATTTAACATACTTTTATGGCCATTTAAAAAGAGAGTACTAACATGTAACAAAATTTTTCAAATAGACTCAGGAAGCTGACTATGAAAAACAGTAGTGGAAAGGAGACTTGCTCTTACTCTACCCAGAAAAGGTCTTTTATTTAGATACTTGCTTTGGATTCCCACTAATTGATTCCATAATTTATTGCTGATTATTTCCTGATAGTCATATAAAGATAGGAGAAAAAAATCAAAAGGAATCAATCAACCTAGGGGCCAGAGGACTAAACCATACTTGTAGCACTATTTTAGAAGTATGGAAAAGCTTTTAAAAAACTGATTTTTAGCTACAATCTACCATCACTTTAATAACAACATAAATAAGACCAAAACATAAAACATAATGAATCTCTACTTTTCAATGGTATCTTATTTAGCTTTGAAAGCTTCCCCTGAAACATGGTAGGTTCAAATAAATGTTTTTGAGCATTTTAAATATCAACTTAAGTTCTTCCATAATTTTCCTGTTGTATAAGTAAACACATGCATGTATAGATAAAATACAATTAAAAAGTTAGGAAAAAAGCAATTAAGAAATGGATGACAAGAGGAGGAATGAAAAAATCTTAGCAAATCCCCCAATTAGATACTCAGTATATGAATAATTAAGGTGATTACATTACGGTTTTGATTCTTCAAATTATCTGTGCTACTACAATGTATGTTTTTTTAAACTAAATATTTAGAATAGGGATGCTTCTTTTAAAAATATGATCTGTCATAAAAACCAGAGGAGGTAATTTAACCGATTTTAAAAGTGTATAAATCAAAACAATTCCCCCAAAACAAAAAAGTACTTTCCAATGCAAAAAGTGGTCACAATAACCGCATTTATAAAACAGACTGTTTAGAGGTGGGAAAAAAAAAAAAAGGTAAAAGTAAAATCATCTAATCACCTATCCAAAAGAATAAAACACTGAACCATGAGGCAGTACACTTGCATTCACTTTCTCTCTTATACATGCACTATTAGGACTCACTGAAGGGTCAAAAATCTTCTAGATCTTGCTAGTTTAAATGCAGGAACGACTAACAACCCAAGAAGGTGTATCTAGGATGATACTTACAAGAGATTATACCACTGTGCTATTATGTATTCTGTGTAAGGATACACAAGCAGTCAGGTGAAAGGTACACACCACACTAGCAAATGCTTGGCTGGACCCATAAGGTCGGATGACCAATGGAATATCAAGATACGTGTCGATTCGCCAACCCTCATAACCACATTCCAGACATCTCACGTAGTCCTTCAGCTTGCCTTGATATAGTTCATTGATAAGATCAGCCTAAAAATAAGAACATTTTACATTTTTTAATGTTCCTTTAAAATAGTTTTTAAAATATGTAGCAATTTATAGAATGGTTTACAAAAGAATATTGCTACTTACAGCTAAAATCTTAGAAAACTTTAATATAAGATTTATCTAAAATTTTATTTAAAAAAAATCAAAACAACACAAATCACCTAAAAATCAGTAAAATGAGATTAACACTAATCTGAGTCAATGTGCAAAAATTAATGATTTCAATAATCATCAAGTGAAAACTCAACTATTAATATAAGTTTTGATGAAATTAGTTACTAATTTCTTATACCATTAAGCCTCAAATTATCTTTACATTAAGATGAGTGTAAATCCTAATCTATCACTTTAGGTATGCTAATAATTATACAGCTATTTCTTAATATCTCTTTCTTGAAAAATAAGAAAAAGAAATAATTATACAGTTAAATGACTGGTTGAGTTTTTATAACTTACATATGTGTATCACCACTTCTCACAATACATTCTGATGTATAAATCATATCCTCTAGCTCAAGATGCAAATCAAACTTTTTAGCTTTCAGTAATATACATAAAACAATTTTAAGGGGAAATTTTACACCATAATTTTTTGAAATGTATGGAAATTCCAAAGAAATTTTAAAATCCTCCTCCCTCAAAATATCCTCACCTGAAAGAACGTATCTTTCATCTAGTCCCCAAACTTAGTTAACTAGGGCTTTTCTGGCTCAAAGGCGGCAGGTACCTAAGTAAGGACCCTCTAAGAGTCTTGTACCAAAACTTGGGAACTCAGTAGGAATGCCCCTGCTAATCTTAATGGAAGCGCTGACCCACAGAAAGGGATTAACAAGGAAGAAGGGTAACTTCAGACCTACGAAGAAGAAACAGCCCCCAATACCAGCTACATATTTACTAAAATACAGCCTCATATGACTATGGAGAGAAACTAGATCTCTAAATGAACTTAAAAATTTTTCATTATCTTTTAGGTAAGAAAAGGCATGAGGATAAGTGTACTACATTTTGCCTCTTTCATAAATTTACATTTCTTCGAACAGGATTTAGAAGACTTCGAATTGGATTTACCATCAATGTCTAAACTAATACCACTTATTTAAAGAAGCCTTCTTCATTCATCATTGTCAGTCATGTGTAATTATGTCTTCTTCACCTAGGAGGAACTTTTGAAGTGGTTCAAATCAGTGTTTTTCAAATACTGTACAGCAACCACCATAAGAAAATAATTTACACTGCAACCCAGTGCATAACTCTTATGTGATGCTTTTAGGCTCTAATATATTCCATTTTTTGAAAGTGCTGTTATAGGCCCAATAAACTGATTGCATAACTATAACTGGATTGTAATCTACATTTTGAAAAACTCTGGTCCAAACCATCACAGTAGTTCCAATCAGAAATCAGACGCTCCTAGCTACCTTATATACTCTTCCTCTTTTATCCCTGTGACCTTCCATTACTATACCCAGTATAAATCTTCCCATGTACTGAGCCTCATCCCATTTAGCCATACTCTTCATCCTAATGATATATCTCATGCTCTTTCCACTCCTATCCTGCTCTTCTTTCCATTACATAAGAATAGGGTCAGATTAATGAGGATCCTAAATATCAAATACATATGACTATACTTCATTGGTCAAAATAAAGGTAATGCTTAATGACTATACTTGCATTACAGATTATAAGACATATAATTTACTTAGTAATTATCTGAAAACGCTGTTTAAAAATCTTCCCCCCAAAACATATACACAGTTTTTAAATGTATAATTTTTAGAGCTAAAATAGAACTTCTTGTTTATACAGCCCAATTTCCTTAAAGATGAGAAACTGAGGTCTAGGGTAGTTTAATGAGTTATAAATAAACTCAGGTAACGGCTAAATGAGAACTCAGTACTTTCAATTCCCCATTGAGTACTTTAATTATAAGACTAATGCCCAAGTTTTAAAACATTCCAACAGACTAAAAGTTATTTAAGGTAATGAGTGATTAGGAAACAGTCCCCTTGATTTAGAGATATGAATTACCTGTTCTGTTTGCTTCCATTTCTGTTCCAAAGCATCAAACATGACTCTGCATAGTTCTTGTACATCATGTTGCTGCCAAGCTATTTTAAGATAAAATTCAATTAGAAATAGCAATAAACTTAATGTAATGAAACAATCTTTTGTTTAAAAGCAAACAGGCAGAAATATTAAAAAGTCTACTTTAAATAATGCTAAATTTAAAAAAGAACACAAGAATATACATGACAATCATGAAAAGGCAATCACAAACCAAAAAATAAAGACTGCAGCATTCTCTAAACAGTATATGCTTTATGGTGCGACAATATTTGTCATGTTTGCTATTTTCCATTGTAGAGTTATGAAATGTGTAAGAAAATCTAGGACAAAAACTTGCAATGAAAAGTTCAAGATAAAGATAATTATGTGTAATGTGTTTGCAATATTATTGCCTCCTAGAATTCCTTTGACTATTAAAATACTTATTATTATAAGACAATTAGTACCCTCACTACTATCCCATCCAAAGCTCCTTGTAACATCTGTGGTTTCAATTGCTCTCTTTTTGCTGGTTTGTAACAAAACAAAAAGCCTTTGAAGTTGGTATGGAATACTTGTCACTGGATCTTCTTCAGATTCTTCAAATTCCCACCTATTAAAATGAAATATTTAGACGTTATTTATAATTTTATCCTTTAAAAGCATAATTAATATCAAAATCATAATAGATTTTAATCCTGGAAGCTATACAGAGTTTGGATGCTAACTGAAAATAATAATATCTAATGAAACATTAGTCTTTCCTTAATTCATAAATTCAGAAGAACTTTATACTTTAACAAGAAAAGGCCTAACAAGGCAAAAGTTGTCACGAAAAAAAGGCAAAGCTCATTTAACTGTGGAACCTGAATCTGACCATAACCTCAGTCCTAATTATTAATTCACAAAAATAAAGGAAAGAGAAGAATACTATTATATGAGACACTATGGCATTCAATCATCAAAACCCAAACTGTGGAAACTATAGGATAGATGACATTAGTTTTCTTTCTATTTTTTACAGGAAATAAATTGCAAGCATGAAAAAATATGAAAGAGGATTATAAACAAATTAAATAGATTAAGAATTTTATTAATCAATTGCAACATACAGCTCATACGGATCCTGATTTAAACAAACTGTTAAATGAGGCAATCAGGTAAATAGTAGCCCTGATGTGATGAAGACATGCTTCCAAATAATCAAGGTGGAGGTTACAGACAAAAAAGACTGATATTAACAATATTCAAAGCTGAATGACTGGTGCAGAGGGATTCATTACGCTATTTTCCTCTTTTTTTTTTTTTTTTTTGAGATGGAGTCTTGTTCTGTCACCCAGGCTGGAGTGCAGTGGCACGATCCTGGGTCACTGCAATCTCTGCCTCCTGGGTTCAAGCAATTCTCCTGCCTCAGCCTCCCGAGTAGCTAGGATTATACACATGCGCCACAATGCCTGGCTAATTTTTGTATTTTTAGTAGAGATGGGGTTTCTCATGTTGCCCAGGCTGGTCTCGAATTCCTGACCTTAAAAGATCCACCCACTTTGGCCTCCCAAAGTGTTGGGATTGTAAGCATGAGCCACTGTGCTCAGCCTACTTCCCTCTTTTTGAATGTTTAAAATTTTCCACAGTAAAAAGCTTTTAAAGGGGAATATAAAAAAGTAAACAAAATAATAATCCAGGTAAGATTTTTACCCTCACAAACTTACGATAAACAGTAGTCTAGCCTTAGCTACAGGAACTGTCTCAATAACAAGTGAATTCCCAACTGAAGAACTTAAGATCTCATGGAAGGAAGGAAGACTGGGGTACTAAAGTTGGTAATATACCCACAGAAGTCCTTAAAATAATTCTATATTCATAATATATTATATACCTAAGACAAGATATCAAGTAACAATATTAATGATATTCTATATCTTAAGTTAGCAGTAAGATTGCTATTTCCTCACTTTTTAGTTTCAAAAGGTTTGAGCATTAATTTTTCTCACAGTTTACAGACATACTAAAAGGCTTTTTTTCTTTTGGGTATGGCTTTCTCTTGGAGTGTTCAATATTTTTCTTACGTTAGGACTGAGAAGTCATAGCTCTGTTCTCATCCTCCTTTTTTTTATGCACCTTCTGTCTCACAGATGTCAGTGAAATACATTTCACCTTTTCCTTCTCAAGGCTTCCCTGCAAACACCTCTATGCAAACCTGACTTCTGCTTGAATCCTCTCCTGTTCTATTCTCAATCCCCAGCTCCCTTTTTTTCTGGTTATCTTCATTAGTGGGTACTTACAACTGACATTATTAGATCAAAAATTCTCTTAGTAACTGTGAGAAAATATTGGTTAAAACAGAAAATGCTCAGATTTCTTGTGCAGGAAATTCACTAGTAGGGAGGAATTACTGTAATATAAAACTGAATATCCACATGTCCTTTAGTTCTGGTAGAAATACCTGAAAAGGTTTTAAACCTTGCTGGTACTTGCTGTTACTTTAGTCGCCTAAGTTAGAAACTTTGGTGCCTATGTTATTCTTTCCTTTCCTTTACTCTTAAGTAAAATTTGTCACTAAGCCATGTTAGTTTTCAATCTGAAATATAACTACTGCCACCATCATCATTCTGACTCTAATATATCCATGCCTGGTTTAATAACAGATTCTTCCACAGTTCTCTTTCAAATCAATCCTGTACACTGCACTATATAAATTTTCCTAAAATAATGTACTGAGCACATCACATACATGCCTCCAAATCAAAGTGGCAGGTTCTCTCTTGGCTACTACACAAAAAGTGAAGAAAATAAAACCTTATCTTTTTATGCTAGCACTACTCTGGATAGTTTATCCTTTTATGCTAGCGCTACTCTGGAAAGTTTATCCTTTTACGCTAGCGCTAAGCTAGCACTACTCTGTGAGTAGTTTTTCCTTTTATGCTACCACTCTCTGGATAGTTTCCCCTTTTACGCTAGTGCTACTCTGTGGATCGTTTATCCTTCTACGCTAGCTACTCTGTGGACAGTTTATCCTTTCATGGCAGCGCTACTCTGTGGATAGTTCAATGAGGTGCTCAGTTCTACATTAAGAAACATCATCAGTACCCTCAGGCTTTGTTTCCCCGCCTGCTATAAACTTCACTCTATTCTCGCAATCTCAAGGCCTTCTTTTCTGTTTGACCCTAAGTCTGACTCCCACACTTCCTTACTCACTAGGATCTTCACAACGAATTTCTAGATTTCTTTTGTTTTTCAAAACCCTTTACTCTTCTGGCTTCTTATGCCTTGTAAGCTCTTACTACAGATCTTTAGAAGGCTTGCTCCTGTGAAGTCTATGCCTATGGAATGCCCCACTACTTGAAGCTGTGATCTTCCCCTTCTCTTCTCCTGACAATTACTCTTTCCATGTTACCCTGCTTTACTTTCTACCTGGCATACATGATTCTATGAAGTGAGCTTACATATAGTTTTACCTAAGGAAGCTCTAAATGAGGGACTTTGTCATACTCATCACTGGAATCCTTATACCTAAAAGAATGCCTGGCACACAATAAATGTCCAATATATGTTTGCTGATGAATAGCCCTGGCTATGCTCTTAATTTCCTCTATAGTGCTATAAATTTACAGTCCATTTTCAGGGTATTAAAACAGATGGTTAAACAAGTGCCCAGGATCCCTGTTCCTATGCATACTCCCCAAAATAGGCACATAGTCCAACTATCCAGTCTGTGCTAGTTTTGGGAGCAGGCTCTGAACTCTATTAACCTCATCCTCTAGTACTCTGACAAAACTAGTGTCGCCCAAAAA